AATACGTTTTGGAGACGAGAAGTGAAAGACGACGCTGCTTCCACCTCATCCACAGAGTTTAGCGCAACCCAAGGAAGCCTGGCTTCGCCTAAATGTTTGGAATTCGTGGGGCTGGTGATCCTCGTCAATTTGGACGGTTTAGTCAAAATACCGAGGAAGTTACTCATGGTATAACGTTGGTTAAGGTCATCCATCTGTTTCCCCTTTAAACAATTCAATGGTGACTTCGCAACGTTGGCACATATTCTAGCTAGGATATGCAATATTTTCTGAGCGTTCTTTCTGGGTCTACGCACCGTAGGTAGGAGACCGAGCGTTTTGCCCTTCATCCGTGCAGCTTCGCATTTCAGATTAGTTATGGGTGTGGTAATAGTATGAGTAGGGACTAATTTTAGATATCATCTTGGTGAAACAACGGCCCAGCTACCGCTGGATTTTGCACGCTTCCTGGGTTTTTGTGAAGTGTGATGGAAGGAATTGGGTTGAAGGAAATTGGTGCAAATTGGTTGGGGGTGAAGCTTTCGGGAACGCTTGGCAATTTGGATCATTGGTAGTGTTTGCGGACGCGATATTATTAGTGTAACATTTGGCTTTGCGGCTTGGGCTTGCACCAGATTTCGGTGGATATGGCTGTGTCAGACATTCGGTTATGCTTGTTCATATGGAGGATATATTGTTGCCCAGAATGTCCTAAACTACCTCTGCAAGCCTATCATACTTCTGGAACAGTGCAATTACGGCTTTAACTAGGGAGAAAGTATCGCCGTTCGTACAGTACAAAAATGCTTCTGGCCTGATGCTAAGCAACCTTCACCCGCTTGGTTTGAATTTCCGGCTATTGCAAGAAAACGGGTTTGGCAATTTCCACAAGAAACCCCTACAGTTTTCATCTTATTGCACGTTCCTCAGACGCAGTTAGGCACCGCGGATAGGTTATTAAGGCCCATTTTAGCACTCGAACGAGTAATACGGCATCTAGGTCACTTTTAAAAGCAAATGGCTGCCGCAATACCCTTCTCTTACACTCGCGGGCACGTGCAACCTGCTGGATTCAGCGACACGCACACAAGCACAAGAAGGTGCAGCGTGCATTGATCGGGTGGTGTTACTCGATGCGCGCAGGGAGTTGTCGAGCTTCCCTAAGTGTCCCGAACGCGAATTTTAATAGGCGAACATGATAAAATGTTTCGTAACTTTATGCTGCTGCCGGTAGGGATGGTTGCATGGTCCTTTGAGAGTTCTCTGCTTCTTCTACCGAATGATATAAAAATTATTCCCAAAATGCTCGGGGTGATGTACTTTTACAACTAGAATTCGACGAAGGAAGTGCCAAACTTGAGAATGGGTGTTACAGTACGTTGCACACAAGTTAGATCCAAGAAATGGAAAGCACTGAGTAGCGCTCGTCGAAATGGTTCGCATGAGCACACGCACAAGTACGTGTGTAGAGTATTGGAATGGCCAAATTGATTGAAGCGGCCGTACTGTAAAGTATTCAAACGCAGACCGGTACCAGTTTCCTTTGTAGAGGCTTGGTTACTTTTGTCTAAAACATTGGGGAAATTCCCTGTCTATACAGAGGAATATCATAATTTTTGATGTTGGTGACAACGGTCATCATCATAGCCAAAAGTTCAGTGATCGCTTATGTTAACCGCATGATTTTACATTTTAATACCGACGAATTTTCATATTACTTATTTGTGAAAACATGCATACTCTTTTTGTTAATATGCTTTATATTATTTAATTCACATAGTCTCCCAACACCGCTTAATTGTAGGAAACGATGGGAGAATTGATTAATTCCCGTATCTTACACGCTTCACTGTCAAATTTTGCACTTATGTGCCGTTATTTGAAGCATGATTATTATTTAATTATACTCCCCGTTTCAAGTAATTAATGCTGCATGTTTTATGAATGGCGCACTGTTCAGTGGATATACTGTGCTTAGATTTCACAGTGGATTATGGCATATGCTTTGGTAGCGTCCTATGGGACTAAAATATATCAACTTGAATACCGTTTTTGTTTTAACCCAACATCAAAACCGCTACCAAATTGAATTATACTCTTCAATACCTGTATTAGAATAGAGTTTCCTGAAGCCTAAAATCAAAACCCTCTTACAATTACCTCTGTATCTACCAAGTGTTTGCATACATTCTGCACTTTTATGTCACCTAAATTTACTATCCTAATTCTCATTGCAAACAAGTATGCAAACGTTCATTCACGATAGCCAAATTAGCGCCATTTATTGTGGACCATTAATTGGATCCAACCGGTTCAGAGCATCTTTTACCTCCATATCGCATTATTTGCTTCCTTCATTAGAGACACACTTGCAAAGGTTTCCAAACTTTGAGTCACGCGGCAAAGTTTATGGTCTCAAGCGGAAGCCAAATATGTGCGCACTGCGAAAACTAATCAGCCACGACTGTCGACCACCAAGTAGTAATGCTGTCAGATAATTGGTAACCTTTCTTTTTCTGTTGCTTTTCGCACCTCAGATCAGTTTTGACCGAATGGTACAGTAGCTTAAGTGGCCCCGCAAAGCCTTCTGACGAATCGGGTCGTGCTATGGACAAGCGGAGTTCAAAGCCGTCCGTACCACTGTGTAAAGAGCCCCGCGCACTGGGATTGAGCTCTTCGTATGCTACTACCTTGACCCGAGATGCATCCAAGAACTTGAACACTTTAACGCGATGGATTGCACTAACCGATCAAAAGATGCTGCGTCAAATACTACCAGAAAGATAAGAGTATATGTTTTAATATCTTGCCAGTGAAATATCAAAACAGGAATCTAATCTTGTAACCCCCATAACGTTGTCCATTCTAAGGTTGCTTAGCTCTTCTAATAGCTGAGTGTGGCTCTACCAGAGCAGAACCATATCTCTCTAATTTTACGCAGTATGTGTGACCATTTTACTAGCCAAACTCGTACTTGAACAGCCACAGAAGTACTCTAGACTAGTGACGACAGTTGGAGCAAATGGCACACATCAAAACGCACCAGTGGAAGAACGACAACAAGCGCCTGACCTGTAGGGTTAAGCAGTCTGCTAAAGAATCGCCACCTGTAGCTTTGTATGTCAGTCAGTATGTCAATACCATCAGTGGCCCAGACGCACATTAACCAGCCCCATGGCTCACTCCAGAAATGAACTCCCATCTGTAATTCTCTATTATAAGAGCTGTGCCACCATGATAGAACTATATTCCATCTTAGCTGACCTCCGGCATCCCTCAGTAAGAACTACAATATTGCATTGCAGGAGTTAATTGCAAGCATTCCGCGCTTTATTCATGTCTGCTTATCCACCAGATTCCGAGCGGTAGTACCCGCATCGACAAGCTGACTTATTTCGTATCATCATACATTAAAATACACTAAAAGAATTCGTTAAAGATACCAGTTAGCATTTGTTGGTTATACCATTGAGAATATTTATGTGGAGTTTGCCGACAGGTTAACTGACCCGATCACCATTGCTCCGGAATTCAGTCCTCTTCGTTCTGTAACAGCATCGCTATGATTTCTGGGCAGCGAAACAAGCATACCGATTTAAGAACTATGTCTTTAGATGGACCGGAAACCCCCTTCTTCAGTAGACGTTGGAGGGTCAATTTCGGGGCTTAGTATCCGATGCGATTGAGGTGGACCGCGGTATTGCACAAGGATTAGTGCTGCGTCGAGCTTTATTTCTGATCGCCGCCTCGTGCGTCTCATCGATCGAACCTTTTGATTTCGTCGATGACATCAACTTATGGCGGATGTTCAGTCATCTGGAACATCACATTTCACTACAATGAGACCTGGACCGTGCACATGAGTGGCCACATTCAAATGTGCTACCGCCTAAATGGAAAATTGCAAACGCCATTACTCAAATGACACATACAGACTGGAAGAACACATCTTGAACACCGCCTCTCAGAAGCGAAAACACTGTGTGCTAATTCAAAATGACCTCGTCTGTTCGAATTTATACGCTAAGTTATCAATAACCATGAGCTTGCATGTTGGCTTGTTACGGAGGTCGCTCATACCGTCCAGCTTCCTACATCCTCTCACAATGCTCAACGCGTGCATTAGTCCTCAGGTTCAGTAAGCAATTCAGGTCGGGCAACCCTAGCTATAATTCCATATGGTTGTACTGGAGACCAGGCAGGGAAGAGCAACTAAAAACAGAAACCACAATTTCCCCTTTCCATAGCAAATGCGCTTGAAAACAATATGAGTGTACAGCGGAAGTTATCGCCACCTAAGGGTGCACTCATCCCGCCCTATCAGCTTTTGGAAACCTCAGTTACCTTTTCCGCCAACTCCCTAATCTTGGCCTTAAAAAGCTATGGGGTCATCAGCTGACGCTGGCCGAAAAAGCAGCCATTTGGTAAGTTGTTGAAACTTTCTCTAACGCGAATTTTTCAGTTGCGGGATGCAAATCCGACTTCTGTCAATTTCTTGTCCAAGTTAAACATTGCTAAAAAATAAATTAAATATGCACTGCCTCATCTGCATCACGTGACATCACTCTCGTTTATTCGTTGTTGAAAAACACAAACTAAGGCTGTGCTCATCATTATGACTCCAGGAAATTCATATAGGCGGTTAATCTATATGCTAACGTAAATAACATGCGGAGCCCAAAGGTACACTGTTTAGTAAGCTGGCAATATTGGAAATGTGATGGCCAATTTCACTTTCACCGCCATAGGATCTTTTCGACATTTAGCATGCTCTATTGATATGCTATATTTTATAGTTTCTTGACCAATATGTCTAATGATTGTCCAGATATGCCGAAAGTTAGCTAGACATACGAGCTCTCCATTGACATTGGCTGTTTGGTGAGCCACCTATAGCGTTTGAAGGGAGATGTCACTGTGTTACAATCCGTACATATCACTAATGGCGTTCGTGTGGTCAGTCAGTGTCAAGGTCGGTTTGTGGAATAAATAAAATAAGCGACTTGTTTCCTTCCTTCTCTATGTGCGGAAATATTATCATGTTGTACTTACGGGCAACGCTTGCAGTATTTATGATGGCCAATCTAATGCACTGTGAGTCGGAGCAACATGCAGGTGAGGCAACCAGGCTGTGTTTATCCATCGCTATTTGTCTATCTTGATGTGTTTAACTTAAGCAAATTGAAAGACGGCGAACTTTAGTTTTAATCAAATTGCACATCTTGTTACGGCTATCAAAACTGGTATTTACCTGGGCCGTAAATCTCTAACGATCTGGATAATACATGCCTGCACCATGCACCGTTTCATTTTTCGCAGGTTGACCATGAGACTATATGAGACATAAATAAACGGGGAACTGTGAAATACCCACATCGAGCATGCGTGCGTCGTTACACTATGAAGAATATTCCAAAAAATGTTATCCGCATAGGTTGCTCATACTTACACCACAACCGCCAATATTATATTCCTGGTTTGCATATAGGTTATCTAAGCTTTTTGCTAATTCATGTGGCCTGAAGAAGCTTTGTGTTACGAGGCTAAGCTTTGCTTACCGACTATAACGACAGGTTGGAAATAAAAATGTTGCGAACCCGAGAACCCTGCACTATTAGACCGGGTTTGAATTAATTTCCTTCATCGATAGACAGACTGCTCGGGAGCCGAGTGCGACTGTGATCTACACCGAAGGTTCTTCCCTAAGACACCGAAGCGCGGCAAGAACGCTTATGTCCTCAAGAAGTTATAATAGCTTCACTCCTCCATCGGTCCTTAGTATTTGTCAAAATGGTAATATGGACAGTGGTTGGTATGACACTACACTTTGAAATCAACGCTTGAACATTCGTTGGAAGTGCACGTTGGATTTTGCCATCCCTATCGTGCACTTCCGTTTAAGCATACAATTTCAATTGGACCAACTGTTCATAGTATAGAAACTTTCGGCCAATGCTATGGCTGAGATTACAAGTCAGTAATTGTTCTCAAGACAGCTACCCCAAAACAAAAATAAGCCGGTGGTCACGTTCTGCGCACCTTGTTTGCAACCATAAGTTCCACGGTTCAAATACGCCTAGATGTGGGTGTCTTCGCGCTATACTCATTGCGCGCGCGACTGGTGGTTGTCCGGCGGGGTCGAAGTGCAGTTACGGCGTACAGCTGACGTTATTATTTTAGCAATTATAATATTATTATTGAGTTACATGGTTTCAATTGTCCCGAAAATATGAGACAAATTGTTCATACGAAAATAACCCGGGACCTTGGTATTTAATTATTTTTCTTTTGTTGTAGATAGAAACGTAGGTCTAACGTGCAGCGAATTCCTCAACGGCAAGAAGGAGGGAACAATTCACAACCCCAAATACCCGAAAAATGATTATGGTTCAAAATTCTGCAATTATCAGATTAGTGTTCCTTCCAACCATCAAGTTGCTCTGACCTTCTCTGAGCTTGAAGTAAGTTTAGTTGCCTGGTTTGTCCATGATGAAAATGTATGACACACCCATTGTACTACCCAGAGTGGGCTCCATAACACGTGTTCAACCTAGTCGGAAAGATGGTTTATTTTGTTGCGGTCGGTGCTGAGGTGCGCGACTGCTTTCTTTAACAAAACAACGCACATATGTAATTTAAGTTGATGTTATTTTTACGCAACCTAACACTAACTTTCATTGATTTCTCTTTCAGTCTTTGTTTAATAACTTGGTAATCTTTGTGTTCGACGGCCCCGATTGTATGTCCAGATGGATCGGATTCCTGCGTTACTTGGAGAATAAGGTTCTCATTTCTTCTGGAAACAGTATAACAGCATTGCTGACCTTTGAACATGAAGTTGAGCTTTGGCGATTCAAAGGAAATTATTCCACAGGTAAGTGGTACCTAATTCACATAAGATATTCTGGTAATAGGCAGCAAACATTGCTATTAATGATTGCGGACTGTTAAGATCACTGATAAAACAATCCATTAAACTCCTCCACGTTTCGCGGAATTGTTAAAACGTTCTTTCGCACTCGTTATAATTTCCAACATTATGGCTTATTTAAAATTTATTTGTGTATATCGATTACTTGGAGTGGCGTGAATGCCAACCAAATTTGCACCACCAGAGTAGTTAAAAAATGAACAATGATTTACGCCAGGTAAAATATCACTTAAATTTCAAGTCCTGTTGGATGATGGGTATACAACTACAATGTCAAATGATATGTACTTTGTAGGTTTGAGAGTTTATCTAACAGAATAACAGTAGTGTAAGCAGGAATTTGCGAACGACCAGGCAACTAGAGACAGTTATATCTCATTTTTTCCAGGAGGAAAGTAAAATTGAGCATAGGCATTTCTGTTCAGCCGCCTCAGCCTAATGTGTAAGTTTAATCCGGCTTGAAGGGATAATTAATATATTCCAAACCGTCTCAGTATAGGCAACGAATTGATGGGGGCCAAGGGCAAGATCCAATCAGTTTTGAACAGATCCAACGTGGAGGAGGAAACAAGCAAGTTCTGGAGAGAGTTCCAGCGTTGGCAAATCCGAAGAGGTAAATCATTCTGCCGGCATTCCAGGCGACAATACTGTGCACATAATTTTACAAGGTTACCTGTGAGGTTGGTATTTTGGCTGCATTTCAGCAAGTGACGGCATATGTGATTAGGGTCACACAATATTTTGCAGCCTAATATGAGACCGCTGCGCAGCCTCCGGTATCAGCCTCTGAAAAGTTCCATGGAATTCAGCCTTTGCAGTTAAAACTAATTTCAGATGCCCTTGACGTTCTTTGTGGCCCTGCTTTGTGGTTTTTCAGGCGCTTCTAAGTCGCGCTTCAATCATGGTTGCAAAGCTTGGATGGCGTATTCAACATAAAGGGGCACGTAAGAATTGTGTATCAAAGGTAAGGTGCATGAGTCGAATCTTGCGAATGCTCTCCGCAGCAGGCCAACGTGCTGTTTGGCTCTCTTAGCAGCGGTCCCTGCCTTTCTTGCATAGCTAATATCAATTTGAATGAGCACAGGAACGTCGCGTTCTTGGGAACTTGTTTGCAATGCATGTGACCCAAGTCTATACACGTAGTCATGCCTATGGTGCAATTGAACAGTGTGATATTTTCCATATTTAACACTATTGTATTCAGAACTGACCAGTATACCATCGTGGTGAGGTCACGCTGGATCTTCTCGTGTTCTTTTGAGTCTCTGATAGCTCGCCATAACGATAACACCACGGAGAAAAGGAAATCGGAATGAATTTTCCTCTTCAGATCTCCTATGAAACTGAAAAATAGCTGGGGTCCGAGCACCGAGCCTTTTGGTACGCCGCACTCTATCTCAATTTGCGTCGGACAGGGATGCAATTACGCTCACTTCCAAACGAGGTTCCTGCGGGAAATTTTCTGTCTAACGCAGCAATGGTCCACCAGTGCCGCAGAGCTCGTTTATGTGGGAGAATTTAGTGGTCTAAGCGATCGAACACTCTTGAGACTTGTAAGTAAATAACATCGACTCTTGCTCCACTATCACTTAATCAGTCCAGCTATTGCCTGCCATTGACAGGTTTGCACTGCTTGAGCGTTTTTTTCGGAAGCCATTTTGCTTTGGTGCTATCATGTTGTGATTTTCTGGATATGCATAAGTGTACCAACGATGATAGACTCCATAAACTTAGAAGGCACCAAGAGAAGCGTTATCTGACGGTACTCAGTTAGGTTAGCGCAACTACCTTCCTTATGAATAGGATTGATTCCCCTCGCTTCCATATTGTTGGAATATTGTTCTTCTCCATAGAAGTTTGATAGATTATAGATAGAAGCTCCTCCGGATCACTGGCTACTGCCTGTGCAGCCTTCGTCCGCAAGTTATAGACACCAGGGTAGCTGTGGTTACGCAGGGACAGCAGTTTCTTTGGCAGCCATTCTGCAGTAAAAGTCATATTGGTAAAGCTGACATTAGGCAAATAGAAACAGGTATAACCGTTGGCCAGTTACTCTTTAGAACGTTTGTGGGTAATAGCACCCTAAGTGATTAAATGCTTTCGTTGCTGATCACATGCACCCTTCAGTCTTTGACAGTGTTGAAGTTCCGCGTTGATGCTTATTTAGACCATTAGCATACCTGTATTGGAGTTGGCGGTTCGTGCAGCATGTCTTCATTAACTTTTGCTGATGCACAAGCTTGTCTACGCGGAGCAAGCTGACATAGAAGTTAAGATGTGCCACATAGGAAGTCTAGGCTCTGAAATTCCGGAACAGCTTGTGAGCTCTCCACGCTAAGCCCCACAAAGACATGCATTTGCGTGTTCTGATCCTCGAAAAGGACGCATCTCCCTTGACGATGGAAGGACTTCTACTCAGAGGTGTGCTAAATGTCCTTGTAAAAGTGCCCCAGACGATTTCTGGAAGACAATTCTTTAAGAAGGTCCAAGATACCTCATTACCAAGCGTGGATAGCACATTGTAGTACGTGACCGTATAACTTTATCATCCTCGTCTTCGGGATATTCCGCATAACATGCATAGTTAAACAGTGGAGTCACATGATCACGGTGACTCAGTGGCATGCTTGTGATTATTCCGTATACAATGCCTTCTTCGTTGGTAAACGCAAGATCTAGTGTCAAGGGCTCGTTGACAGTTCGAAATCTGATGTGAGTGCTCAGGTTGCCGTACAGAGGGTAGCTGGAAATTACCTCTTGTAAACGGGCTTTGAACTGCAGGGTATCCCTCGCCGCTATTTCTAGGTCATGCACATTAAAGCCACCTGCGATGATAATGTGACTGTACGACATGAGCAAAGCAACCTGAATAACGTGGTTTTGTCTGGAATCCATTTCACACGTAGAGTTTGGTGGACGGTAAACCACTGCAATAATCTATGTGTCTTTGTTCCCTAACCACAGCCGGCCCCAATGTCAATCTGGGGCACGGTTCTATGGATAGTCAATAAGTTCACATCGGAGGTTAGCCTTGTAACAAAGAATTACACCACCACCTCCTTTAGCCATGTCAATCTGAACCAGCGACATACCAGGTAAATTGACTTCAGAATCTGCTCTCAAGCCTTAACGAGTTCTCCGTAATCATAAAGAGATTGCGCAGTTTTAACACCTGGCGTGCTTTAAGTTCGGCCAACTTACTTAGAAGACCTGGGAGTTAGTATCCAAATGCGCCAGAGTTTTTGATATTATAAGTGTGTGGGTGGAAAACAAATTAATGTTTAGATTTAAGCGGACCTTTCTTCAGTCCGCCGATAATCGTTTTCTGCTTCGGTCATTTGTTCTTGAATTTCGGTCTGGCTGCGTGGTTTCAAGGAGCATCCAAGATTTAAATGTTCTCTCGTGTGTCTTTCTGTCCCGTCAGATTTTGTGAGTGCTATATTGTCTACTAATATGCAGGAGTGTGAAGCTAGATTTTTAAATGAGGCTGCATATTCCAATAAAGTGCTGACAAATAGTGGCCGTGCGCCTGGTATCTTTAGCCTACTATCGGTGGGAAGCCTGGAGCGATGCTTCACCCAGATATCCAATAGAAAGGCACTCATTTCTTCGGAGTATAGCACTAATTTAATATTTTTAGACTGCAGCGCTTGTAGTTTGGAGATGAAGGAATTCTCGTTAGTGATTTAGCAATAACGTGGTCCTGAGTGGGCGCTTCGCGGATGTAGCACCACTGCACTCTGTCACGTTTTGGCGCCTCTTGAAAAGGGGAGCTTAGTAGTTTAGGAGCACCATGAACAAATACTGATTTCTTGATTTCGTTCGTAGAAGAGCCGCCATGGTTTTCTTTGCTTTGACCCCAGTTTCCTAGGACTATCTCGAGATGTGCCTGCCCAATGGATGAGTTGCGAGGATAAACTGCTGAGAATAGGGCTGTCCCTCTCTCCTCAGTTGAGGTCACGTTTACTCGAAGAAATCGGGGTTCGCCGTAGTGCTTTGAATTTGGGCGACGCGCTACGAGTGATAGCTCAGTTGGCTTAACCCGAATATCAATCGCATCGCAGCTGGCATTCGGCAGGTTTCGTTTGTCTACGAACTTAACCTTTAGTTTGCCAGATCTGGACTCAGAAACTCACTGATTTTATGTTTAGCGAATGTCGGTTTGGGTGTTGCGGCTGGTAAGTTAGGTTGTTTAGCAGGTATTATAGCATGTTGTGAAAACGGCATCTCATCGCCAGTGACTGGTCCAGAAAACAGATATATGGGTCTCTTTGAGCGTTTTGATCTAGGCGATCGATGCTGTTGTTTAACGAACATTGACTGTCAGTGTTGTGAAGAACTCTTGAGATATAGCATCTAGGCATGAGTTAATAGCCTGACTTGGTTTCCTACTTAGATGAGTAGTAATTGTTGGAGTAGGTAACGTAGATGTCGTTGGGCGGTTATTAAGACTGACTATAGTCTTCAACTTAAAGCCAGAGCTCTGGGGGGATTTCAGTAGAACAAGATTGGTGTTGTTGGATTCTAATTGCAAAGCCCTGAAGCTTGGCAGCTACTGGACTGTTTTAGTCAGATATTTAAACGTTTCACGAGCGATATTACACAACTGACTATTGGGATTGCTCTGCATGTTTAACAAAACCAGAGCGTATCAGTCAGCTTGATTTGTTTCTTATATTTCGCTGACTTAAACTAGCGCATCAAGGGTAATACAGAAGGCCGCAGAATAAAAAATACTGTCGCTTTTTATTACTCATGTACAAATATGCTCATCGCATTTGCGGTTAGTTGAAATCACTTCCATTGAGGGAGTTGTTGCAAACAAACACTGCCCTTGTCTGTTCACGTGAGGAAGCGGGCGAGTGACTCTCGAGTTCTTTGTTCCAGTCGCACGCTTAAGATCAGTTACGGTAGTTAATTGTGTCATGACGAGGACACAAGCACATAGAGTTAGTCTAGCTCCTTGATCAACACTGCTTCCTGTAGGACAATGCCGTTGGAATTGGCTTGTATTGGATGGAGAGTATCGACAAGTACCGGCGATGCGTGAATGCACTTCAAACCACAGATTGAGTCGTTGTTTCGTTAGATATGACCTTATGGGTGTACTTCTAGAACCATCAAATAGAGCGGAGAATCCTTGATGGATCACAGTGTAGCAGCAGTAAAATCTGTTAAAAACAAGAGGGTGGCGCGTCTAGATACTAGCACGAAACCCGCTAAATCAACATGGGTAGCACAAATCACTTTTGTTGGGAACTTATTTTCATAAACATATGTTCAATGAACAAGGAGCGTTGATCCGATTAAAATGAGTGTATGATGACAGTGCTAGGTAACTTGAAAGAGGTGTAACTCTGTGACGGGGGAACACGTTTACTGTGCGACAAATCAGTGCACGCAATACACTTTGTGAAGTGACTATCCGGAAGATTGCTGCTTTTTCCTTTTAACAATTTTGTGCGCCCAGGTATATCCTATCTTGGCGCAGTGTTAAATAGAATGCCTGAAAGCAAAAAAATCTGCAATGTATTTTGTCTTATGAACAACGGTTCGGTCGGTGTACACCTACTGGCTGCTTAACTGATAAATATGCTAACACCTTATAAAGCAATACTTGTGGCGCATATTTTGTCGACTGCGATGAATTTACTTGGGATGTCTGGGCTATCAACCAATGGTAGTTTGACTAACGTTGCACAACGAAAAATCAACGCAGATGCTTCGCATCCCCTTCTGTTCGTTTACTTTTTTAGACTACAGTCTTTATTTAAATGTCCGTGAAGCTTTGAAATCAAATGCGGTTAAATCCATGGATTTGCTATAAATCCTTTCCTTACTAGCCTGACTCACGGATAAAACCCATTGCTTTGATGATCAAAAGATATATCTTTTAAACTTCCTCAATGTTGGAACACACTATTTGCCGTAACGGCTCAGCGAACTACCAATGGCAGTTTAGGTTTCAGTCCACATCCTACAAAACGTACGAATTTGTTGGCAAACCAAAGATTCTAACTTAAAGTTCTTCGAAAACTCAGGCACGTATTTACTAATGTGGTAATCCAGTTCAACGGTGTATATCCCTCAAAGTTCGTGTCCAGCAGCCAATTATTGGGCATCCAAAAAACAGATGATATTTGTGCTTGTATAAGCAGACAGACTTTTACTATCTTGATGGATTTGCGAATCGAAGCTGACAGTTTGTCGATCGCATACTCGCCGCATAACTTCAGGTGGGCAAACTATAGTTATTAATGTTGTGGCGATACTCAAGTACATACAATTTCTATCACTTGTGTGTGTGCGGTACATGAATGAGTCTACTGAAGTAGTTGTAAAGCCACAGCTTCATTTCCGGCTGGGGGGTTTCCACAATGTGGTTCCTCTACGGCGTAATTCACTAGAAGCTTCAGGAATGCATAAGTTACAAAACTGTAGCTTTATGAAAAATTAATAACATATAGTATGGACAAATCGGTTACATAACAGGCACTAGCAAGCGTTAGCGAATGCAGCAGTCCTGTTGACTGAAGGGCAATAACTAATATAACATACCTACTTTTGCAACAAACGACGTAGTAATTGGAGATAATGCGGTCATTAAATGATTTCGTGTACTCTTTAACTATCAAATTTGATTGTTACACTAGAAGATATATGGCCTAGAAATGTTTGATAATTTTCGCATGCAAATCCGCAGTGCAATTTTAACACGAAGGTTTTCGGATTATTTTCCTTATTTGAGGAGTAGTAAACACAATTCATATGAAAATAGCTCTCGATGTAGCAAAGCAAATTGGACTGGTTTATAGCTTTTATAAGACTAAAGTATTTGATAATTAATAATGTTTAGCTACATTCTCTACAACAAAACTGTTGACAATATGACATTGGAAGACTGTGTTGACGAGCAACTGTACTGCTCTTATTCCTAGTAGGGGATGGAAGTAAACCACTCAGTATAGAAAATGTAAACACATTTTAAGTATTTAACATAAAAACACAATATGCCAGCATTTAAAGTAGATACACATCTAGCTGTTTCACATTAAAAAGGCAGCATCGGCAACGGAGCTACCTTGTGGTTTTCCCTAACCAACCTCATATACAACTTGGTATCACATGCAATTTAGACAGCTTATCCGACTAGGTCTTTATTCAAATTCAGAGTGCGTAACCTGGACTCCTGTCAATATTTTTAACTACAATTCTATTGAATTCATTCTTGACCATTGTGCTGATTAGATCTGGTGGAGGAAATGCGGTCTTTCAACAAAAGCTACGCGTGTAAGTAAACTTTACATGCTTAAGTAAACATATAAGATTCAGTCCTATTTGTGGTTCAAAGGCAATAAATTTTTCACGACATCCGGAAAATCTAGTGTGCTTCTCAAATTTCAAAGCACTGTGGTGACACCCGATAAGGAATTCGCACAAAGTTCAGCGAATGCCATAAACAGCCATCATCTCAAAAAATGATCTAATTTATATATCCGTAGAAGAGAAATATCTTTTTGTTAGGTAGCTGACATAGCTGAATTAGAATTGTCACAATGTGACCTAGTAAATCGACGTGTGTAGTAAAACCGGATGGTACCGACATTCAGCAAGAGAAGATGCAAGGCAGTCTCTTTGGGACACCAAGTTGCCTACTTCTTTGCAGCACTCTTCTGTTGAACCTGAGTTTGGTGTACTGGCTCACTATGATCCGAATTGATCCAAGCAGTCGGAAAAAGTACCGCAAGCGGGAAATCTACGCTTTGGATTGTTAGGAAAGGCGCTCGCACACATAGACATCTTCATGTTTCTTGGGATGCTCCGCGCTCATGGTATTCTTCTTCTGCTTGATTACGTACTTCAAGCCGAGCAGTTTAAATAAGGAACGATATCAATGATCTGGAGCGGTTATGATACCGGACATTTTAAGCACGTTACATGAACTTGTAATTTCACATAAGAAAATGCTCAGAATATGCAGTTGCTGCTCTCGTCGAACACGGTGCGACATAATACTGACCCACCAGATACTGCACAGTCCAACTCGTGTGTATACTTCTTCCCAGAACCTAAGCGGATACTCCAAACAGTAAACACTGAATTGATGAAACAGGATATACGTTTTCAATACCGCGGAATGGCGTTCCCGTTTGTGCGTGTTTTCTCTGTGAATGAAATTCCCTAGACGGTTCGTTCCGAAACGACACTATACGTAGTTACAAACCAATTCGACACGGCATTATGTCGCTTATATTTCGCTGCTTAGCATTATTTTTACGCTGCATACCATGAATAAGAAACTTGACCGTACTAGCCAACGGCTATTTTTACTGTAGAAGCAAAGCGGATAGCTCGTTTACGGTTTCATACAACCTAAGAAATCATATTTGCACTTGTTTTGTTGTAGTTCACAGGATTTTCCACGGGGCTAATCAAAGGAGTTTGTAGTGGTTATGCGCTGTAATCAGCCTAATATCATTGTTATGTTGTCATTATAATCTACTGAGAGTCAGGTTCGGTTGTCAAGTCAACTAGATTTTACGTACCCTAGTAGGAATAGTTTTTTATTTTACAATATTACTGCGAATAGAGAAATTTACATAATTAGTGGATAGAACAAATAAATATTTAAGGCGAAATGTATGAACGTATCACTCAAACAAAAATTTGCACGTCATGTCTATACTACTTATTGAGTTACTAAGCAGTTAGACAGGAAAAGCAGGATAGAACTTTGGTGAAAAGCAGTAAGAGATAACGTCTCTAAGTGTAGAGCTTTTGGAAGAAACAGATCGCTTCTTCAACAGAGAAGGATGTAGTAGGTGCACATGGTCGTTTAGAACTTTGAAGAAAAAACTAGCACAAGCGTCTACACGTTGTATGACAATAACGGAATCAAGGGCCGTACTAGACAGTTCGCTGCACTTGACAATAAGTATTAACGACCGTACAAAATATGTGTAGAGCTTTATGAATAATGCTGAATGAATTAGTGAGATACAGTAAAGTCAGCGGCCTGAATATACTTTGTTACAATTTTAAAAATTAAATCGCCAGGAACCGAAAGCATTTTAATTTTGAAGACATAAAGCGATATAAATCTAACCTTGCGAGACGGGTCAGAGACATGAGTGCATCAAATATGGTTTCGGGATAAAAGACCACAGACATTTAACGGTTAAAGTCTTGGCTATGAGTTGCTCTTTCACTGCCAGAAAAGCGTTGGTATTGAAGACAGTTTTAACTTAGCAGATCGAAGAAAGTTAATGTTGTATAACAAAATTCAGCTATGTTCCGAGTGAGAGACCGGGATGATGACCACAACCCAAACTAGCCTAAATCGTTCTGAGGATTAGATTTCTCAAATTTCGGAGCCATACATCCCATAATGACCTCATGAACATGCCTGCATTAAATATAGTTGGAAGGTATGGGAACTTTTCTATATGTAGCAATTCGTGTAGGGGAGAGTGTCACTCCACGTAGAAGGCCGCGATCCGAGAACAGCGCCTTGCACAGAATTCAGTTAAGCTGAGTGAATCGGCTACGATGGGTCAAATCGTCAATAATCTCGATGCAGACGTTTGTTCGAACCACCATCGTGATCAACTGGATGAGCAGAAGTTAACTAGCACAGATGGTATCGAAAGTACGGGATACTACACAGCATCCAGTGTAGAGCATTTGGGTACAGACTAATTGGCATACATCGTCTGTTGGTCCCGTATGAAAAACCTAGATACAACTAGTTTCTGGAAGACCATCCACATCACCGTCGTACTTGCAATCGGATGACGGCTTTGATATTCATTTTTGGCAGAAAAACTATCTTTATGAGTCACAAATGAAAGGGAGTCTGTCGACTATAACCCACCGGCTGAAATGCGCGGTGAGTTCGCCAAAAATTATTACACACGCTCTATTGTAACGAGTTGTGATAAAGCGTAATATCGGGTAGCCTCAGTTTTCTTCTATATTTTGTTTTTAATATTAATCTCAGTGTTGACTGCGAAAACATCAAGCTTCAGGTTTGCTAAAAATTACTCTATCAAGATGTTTAGGGAACTCCTACTACACAGCTGAATTATATGCCTCTGATGGCTGCATCAATCGCAATAATCTTACGTAGTATTAGTGCATTATCGATGCAATCGCATTATCTCTGATTTCACTGCCAAAGAGAGTGGCTTACCTGGGGCTCATTAGTAAGACCGTCGACGAATACTAAGAATAAACGTGGTTTCACCGCTGATCGGTCAGCTACATCACACTGGACTTCAATCTGTTCGGATATGGATCTGCGGACATTCGCATTTAGCTGCCGCTTAATGTCGAAGTTGCTTCTGCAACCTAGCATGGGGTCACCGATTTCATAGCTTCGAAGTTGTGAAGGAGAATGTGATGGTCTAGATAAACGAATGGTCTATAGAAGTCAAAGTATACTACGTCAAATCCCTGTCTGGCATTGGCTGAATTCGACTGGTTTGCTTGGGCTAGTAATACGTTTGTGGCGCAGGATGGATTTCGGCGGAATCCATGCTGCTGTGACACTGTGATCTTGTTGTTCGCAAATTATCCCACGTATGCCACCGCGTTTACTACTTGCATATCGCTTGATAACACTGGAAAACGGGCGATTTGACACTATTCAGTAAGCCCTGCATGATTTTCATCTTGAAAATGTTTCCACATGGTCGGAACCCGCATTTCCTCAAGACGTTTATGAACGAACCGAGATAACGGTTCAGCGAGGTTTATGGCAACTGTTTTAACGCCTTCAGTCTTTTGTTATCTACACCAGGATAGCTGTGCATGTGAAGGGATAGT